GCCATTTCTACGTGAGCGAAAGGTCAATTCGACGAGTGACCGGTGTCATGCTGTCGCTGCTTCCATGTAAGAATGTTACATTTGCAGTGGAGTGTACACATCAGCATCTGCATTCAAAGACACAGGCATATATGGACGTCTTGAAAACTATGGTGTTCGATTCGAAATTGTTGAGAATCATTGATCCAGGCTGCGCTTTATTGCCCGCCCGTTCTCTCGTTGTTGCTGCTGCATATCAGCAAATTTTAATCTCACTCTCCCTCTGGTTTTTTTGTCTCGTTATGTTATCGGCTGAAAATGCCCCATAAATTTTTGATAAATCTCTTGCTGTAACAGTGTTTCTGGAACCAATTCGCACTCAGTCAGGACGGAGAAACAGAATTTCAAAAGCACAATGCGAAGCTTATCCGGTCCCGACGATCTCAGTGACAGAACAAAGTAAAACCGACCGAGAGTTTAGAAGGTGCAACACATTATTTTCTTTCAGCTCTTTACGGTTCTTCTCGTCCTACGCTGTCTCCAGTTGTCCTCGCAATGAGTGATGAGGGGACAGAGCGGAGTAAGCGGGATCTTTCAACATGGGGAACGATCATGAGGTAGGTTTTGCCGCTGCGTTAGATGTGGAGCATTGGGGTAGTTCCAGCTGGTCATTGTGTGAGCACAGACTTGAGTTTTAAAGCTTTTATTAAAATGTAGCTGGGAAGGAGTGCGCCGATTCATGACGAGTGAAAGTAACAGAGATGATTTGTGAATGCTACATCCAGCAGATGATAAAATCAACTTTGCCAGTATCCGTTTGTTCTCCCTTGCAAATCAGAAATGTTTCGCTGTTGCTGCAGCTTACGATGTTCCGCTCACTGCCGATATTTCACGTGTATCAAATATTTCACATATAACAGTAGCTTCCTTTCTGGGATTCTCCCCATGCTTAGGATAAATGTCGGGGAAAAAGCTCAAGTCCAGCATCAAGGTTTCAACTTTGTCTGGGAGAAACCATTGATTTCTTGCCTAGGAGTGCCTGTTTG